GTTTTTGCGACATAAGTTTATTTGTTTTCGTGGGAAGTTTGGACTAAGCCATAGACATATAAGCCTAAATAACTGACCAATATCCCTTTGCTTGTGAAAAGAAAATTTTATTAAATCTAACACCTATGATCAGGATACGGATATTATCCCCGTGCCTGTAGATCCAAATCCACCACAGTAATGTTAAGTGCAGGATCAACAACACTCACTAAGCAACTCCGCCATCTCAATCACCAACTCAAAATAACAATCAACCAAATCCATCACCAACTCAACCACCATCATCAAGAACACAAAGTCACAATACACCTTGAACATATCGGATAATGATGACGGGATGTTGTCAATTCCAGCCCTGCCTATCATCAATACCAGGTTGTTTTGTTTTTTTAGTAATGATATTTAAAAACTCTACAATTTGCAATTGGAAGTGCGCGCGCACACAAAGAAAAGGAGCCAAGTAAATAGAAACTTGACCACCAAAATTTTCTGCAATATTTGGTCGATGCAATTTATTTACTAATCCTTTGTAAAAAGAATAATAATAATACGTAATCATCATGAATATTGTAACGTACATGTAACTTATGGAGTCAGATGCATTCACATTCAAGAGAAGGATTATTTAACTAAGGGAAAATGCATAATGATTTTAATATATATAAATATTAGATATTAAAAAAATTACAAGATAAAACTATCAGAGCAATCGCATTGGGTAGCCATTGTTGGATATCACCTATTCTTTGGTCACTCTTTATGTAAATCTATTTTATAATATTATTACTCTTGCTAATATTAGTATCTTCTTCATCTTCTATACCATCCTCCCTCTCAATTTTTTCTTCTTTTCTTTATCAATTCTCTATGGTTTCCTTCTAGGATTCATTTTTTTGTTGATAGAAGATTTTTGCATTAAAGGCAGCAATTCCACCACATAGTCTATTTCACCAAATGAAAAAAAAAGGATCAGTTCAGTCATTTCATCAAGAATCCTCCCACAACTTTTAAATTTCCATTAGGTTGATTACCAGTTAGTTTACTACTTGATTTGTGGTTTTCTAGGTTCTACTAGATTAACTATTTTATAGGTTTGATAATATACTAAAAAGCCAAAGAATAGTCCGATCAACAATCCATAAAAAAAATTTTACTTGTGGAAGGCAAAGATTTGGTTTGTTTTATAATGCTGAGTTTTGTTTTAGAACTGTAAAATAGCAATAAGAATTATGGCTATGATTTTTTTAATATTGTTAGTAAAGAATTTTTATTTCAACTTTAAATTTAAATAAAATTTTCTTTCCTATTATTTTTCTTTGCAATTATTTTTGGGATTGATGTTAAAAAAAAAGTTCTTAAAGTGTTAAACGCGATGGAATTTCCTCGAGATGTAACATGAGTCTTGGATTTTTAAAAAATAAAAATGGGCCTGTAATTTCCTGTGACATAAACGTTCACTTTGTCTGGTTTTGTTGGAGTATGCCCCATATAATCAATTTATATTTGTATCTTTATTTATTTGTCATCCTTATTGAAGATAATTAAATAATAATTTCAGAAAAATTAAGATAAAATTCCCGAGCTTAAAATCCAAAAATCCAAAAATCAGTATTCCTTTATAGATATACACATAAAAATATTATAAATCTAAACTTGAAATTCCTTTAATTATTTGGTTGTTCTAAATTATATTTTTTATGATTATATATTAATTAAAAAATAAATGTAACGTTGAATTGATTTTTTTCAGAAAACCATTTTTGAAAATCATTAATACCTTCTAAAACAGTTTCAACGTCGTTTGCATCAATTATATTACGACCAGTTTTATTCGAAAGAGTTTCAATGTGTTCTTTGATCTGATCGAATGAAAGAGAAAAATAATCATTTTCACTATCAGATTTTTTTAATAAATAGGATGTTGGAAATGTATAATTTTCCAATGTCTATTTATGGTGATATTATACAATATGTAATACTAATGATGCCAAAAGATATATTTACTTTAGGTTCGTCTTTACTAATCCATGTAATAATTTGATCGATTGATTGTAGCGTAAATAATCCTCCTTCTAATCTTTTTAAATAAAATTCTTCCTCGTCAATCTCATCACTTTCATCATCATCTGCTAATTTCTAGGATGCAGTATATATATATATATATATATATATATATGTGTAGTAACAGTTAAGAATTACCAATTATTAGAGTCCAAATAATGACAATAAGGATCAACATTCATCTTACATTTTTTTCTTCCTCTATTTGCTCATCAACAACTTTCACCTTTGATTCATAACTTTTTTTTAATTCCAACAACTTTTCAACCTTCTCATAATCACTCTCTATAAACTTATTAACCAATCTTAATCTATGTTCGCTATTCTCTGGTAGATTTTTAAATAATGAAACAATAATTCCAATAATATGTTCTGTACATATACATGGGAATTTTATTAAAATAAAGCTTATTTATATTTTGTTTAAAAAAAAAAGTCAATGTGTAATAATTATTGTTATCAATACCTTCTTCCTCGATTTCTGAAAATCCTTTATAGCTTTTTTTAAGTTTTTTATTTCCCTAACAAAATAACACAATATGTGTATTTATGTGATTCTTAAAATCTTTTGAATTTTATTACAACATAATATATGCCACAGGTATAAATTATAAAAATATATTAATACCTTGCCCATAAACGAAGCAAATAATGTTTTTAAGCCAAATATTTCAACAAATTTTTCACAGTTGGCCAGACCTTCAGGTGTTGATAATGCATGATCCAAAACTTTTACAGCACGAGTACGAGACATCATTTTTTCTCTAAACAACAAATATATATATATAAACTTATTTAAAATAAAGATATCAAAAAAAAAATTCACATAAAACTCACCTCATCATAATTAACATTAATTCTACGCCTTCACCTTCCAAGAATTTTTGTTTGATTTCAAGCTCTGATAATGATAAACATAATATATCAAAGAAATTTTCCATCATCTCAGTCTCATCAGCATCCCTGGGATCTTTACGTTTATATGTCTTTTTTTAAATGTATATATATTCGTATATATTGTTAGATGAAATGATTATAAGCATAATTAAATACAATAATAACAATCATCGTACATTAAGTGCTCGAAGAAGTACATCAACACCTCCTAACTCTCCCATTTTTATTCTGTTAGCTAATTGACACAAAAAATAAAACGAATCATTGAAATTATTTAATTAAAAAATTCTTCAATATCGTTCAATTTAGCAAATAATCACGAGGCGTTGAATCAACCCACAACGGCCGCGCTTTATGTACCTCGACTATTCTGTAATAATATAGCCAAGATTTCGCTAGCATACTGTTTATTGGAATCAAATCCTTTGACCTTGACTCTGGTAAGTAACCATTGCAGTAAATTAGTACCATTCACAATTGTTTCAGAATAGGTCGGATCCAATGAAGTGAGGTTTTCAACAACACCTAATAAATAATCAAAAATATATATTTTCAAATGCATTAGAACAAGAAAAAACGACTCAAAAATTATAAAGATTTTGAATAAATAAATAGCATAGGTACCAAGCGTATTGAAAACTCCTTGTTTTTCAGTTTGCTCATTTTCGTCGAATCTAGCAAGATTTTGTACCAACAATTCTGGAACTTGATTTTCAACCTTTTAGATTTTTTTTTTTTTTTGTAAAAAAAAAAAAAAGGAAAGATCGAAAAAGAAAATAAATAAAGTTACTAAAACATTATTATTTTAAGAATTAACCATCATCATACCTTCATCCAAAACTATACATTTAATATATATATTACCAATGCGTTGATAAAAACTTTCATAGACTCTTCATTATCTTCTGATACGATATCATCATCTGTTAACTCATTCAACAATTCCACTACGTCTATTACTATATCAGTATTTTCATGACTTAAAAGTGAGGCAAGTAGTGTTATTGTGCCTAATTTAACCACTTGAGGATAAAGTTCTGGTGATTCTGAAAGTCTCAATAAATTTTTGATCTCTTCGTGAAGATCAGTTTCTGAATCCAAAAATCTAAAAATCAAATTTTTTTAAAAATAAAATGTCATATAAAATATAATATTAAAAAAATATCAATTGTTCAAGAAAATTCCTTACTTTGTAGGATCATCAGCAAATTTAACCCGAAGTTCTTGATTTTTTGTAATCACCTTCTCAAATTTTATAATCATTTTACGAACATTAGATAAATTTAAATTTTCTGGCTTAGAATCGAATCAAATACATATATAAATGTTAATTAATCGGTGGTATTCAAAAAACGATATGAAAGACGAATAGAAAATTTTTATTATCAATGTCAAGCCAACCTCGTTAACCTCAACTTGATCTACCATCTCTAAAATTTTTTTTTGTTCGTCAGTTAATCCACCACCAAAAAATCTTCCTCCCTCTTCCTCCTCTTCCAGATATGCATCCTCGTCTTCATCAATATAATATTCTCTTTCTTCTACTTCATCCAAAATTTGAACCATTTTTCCTTTACCTTTCGAAGATAATTTACCAGTATGTGCAAGATCTTCTTCTTCTTCTTGTCCAGTTTGATTTCTTACTGCTTTCAAGACTTCTATGTCAGGATTTGCAGTTAATTTTCTTTTGTTTTTTCCACTTGGAATTGAATTTGATGGAATTTTAAAAAGTTTATCAACATTCATCTTTTTTTTATTGACCTTTTTAAAATTTTCAAAAATGTATCGTACGTATTTGAAGATAAAAATTGGTATGTACAAATTTAGAAATTTGTGTCAATTTCTTTTGTGATACAATGTTATCTTCCCTTCTTAAAAAAAAAAAATTTAAACATTTTTGTTTTTATCTTACAAAGAACAAAAAAAGGATACAAATTTAATAAATTACTAAAATTTTATACTACCAATTTAAAATTTAAAAATAATTTATTTTTATTATATCTACAATACATTATTATTTAATTTTTTTTTAAAAAAAAAACATGACTCGTTTTAGTTACAGTAGTTATCTTAGTTTACCTGGTTTATCTAATTTTAGAAGACATGCAAATAGACCATCACCAATGCCAACCTCTTCACCTGTATTTCGAGGATCACGTAGATACTATCCTCCTAGTAGAAATATGAAGTTGGTCAATAAACCCAAAAAAGATGAAAATTGTGTATTTTTTCAAAAATATGGTAAGTCAAAAGAGTCAAAAGATTACATTTTATACGTGTGTGTGTGTGTGTGTATATATGCTTGTATGTATGCAGCAAAATTTATTTTGGCACAAGGCAAGCTTTACGAATTTTACGAGGGAGTGTGTGTGTATGAGAAAAATCCACCATATCAACGATTGAAACACACAGATAAAACCAATTCGAATAACGACGACGACAACAACAATTTAAATTATTTAAAAAAAAAAAAAAAATGTATATTTTGAAACATGCCTTATTTTTAAATATTTTTTTTAAAAAATATTTTTTTTGGCTTTGAATTTAGGTGAATGTAAACAAGGAGAACGATGCACTTATAAACACGATCCAGAAAAAGTTGGAGTTTGTAAACATTGGTTGTATGGAAATGGTTGTACAAGAGAAAGATGTAGACTACAACATCAAAGTAATCCCAAAGTGATTCCTCATTGTAACTATTTTGTAATTGGAAGATGCTTGAATAAGAAATGTAAATATACACATATCCATGTTAATTTTAGAGCAAAGATATGTAAACAATTTGCAAACGAAAGGTATTGTGAAAAGGGAGAGGAATGCATGTTCAGGCATAAATGGCTCCAACCTGGAGCAAAAGATACAATTGCAGATTCATCCGATGGTGAGTCAAAAGTTGTTAGTAAGCGTAAACGGAATGAAGTTGATGATGATGTAGATGTTTTTGCTGCTGGGTATAAGTATATACCTTTTAATATCAGTGAGGAAAAATTAAAAGAACATGAAGAAAGATGTGACAGATTGTTTGGGGATAAAACAAAAAGAAAGAAACTTAGATATTTCTCTGATATATAAGGTAGTAGGTAGTATTGAATGATGATAATATAAAAACCAATAATTTTGCGTTTTTAAATATTTCAATTTATTATCATTACTGCATTTTCCAAGTATGTAAAAAAATTTATTCCTAGACAAACAAGTTTCAGCAATTAATGTACATAAAAATAATTTATAAAAAAAAAAAATCTTTATAAAAATATATTAAATAACATGTCAAAAAAAATTAATTTCTCAAAGAAACCGGGTATAATATTGAATTAATAAAAAAATGTCGTGGCCAAACAATTTATAAGCACAATTCCACGTATTTATAAAACATTTCGCCTTGTAAGAACAACAGCAGTTAGAACGATAAAAGGTTTTCAGAAAGATATAGTGGTGTTGAAGAAGGGTTACTAAGAAGTGGGCGTCCTAAACTTCGAGTGTTGATCACAAATAATTCCATGAGCAACCAACAAAAAATTGTCTTAATTCGTGAAGAAGATGGATTAACAATGAATTGGCCGTTTAAGTTTGATGTGTCAATCTTTACTCTATCAACCAAAGTAATATTATTTTTATTTTCAATACTTGGTACGAATCGGTCACTTTGATGCAATTAAAAAAACACTTGAAAAAAATAAATTATGCGTAACTTTCTTTTTAGATTAAAAAAAAGTAGTTTTGTAAGTTTTTTTTTTAATTTTTTTTTTTTGTAAATAAAAAATTTATACAGAAAATTATCAAAATAACATATAAAAATATCAAGAAAATATAATATATATTATTTATATATTCATATTTATGTTTATATTTATAAAAAATATGTATAAGTTAAATATAAAAGAAAATATAGCGTATGTTTATGAGTTAATGAGTGTGAGCGTGAGCGAGTGGTTGGATAGGTGGTTTGGTAGGTGGGTGAATAAATGGTTGGTTGAGGGTGGATGGAATGATGGTATGTATAAAAGGAATTGATGAGAAAAAAGAGAGAAGTTGTTATTGGAGAAGTCAGGTAAAAGAAAGAGAATTGCTTTATATATATATAAATACAAAAATGTGAAGAAAAAAAAAAATCTAATAAATATATTTTGAAAACCCTGCTTTATATCAATAATAAATTAGGGAAGAATGCAAATGTGTGTTATGAAGTTTTTATATGAAATGACGTGTAAATGCAATTGTATATATATCTAATAAATAAATGACATGTACACGAAATGTATATAATGTTATATATATATTCTATATATGTATATGAAAATTATGCTGTAAATGCTAATATAAAAATGCTAATGTGATTTATATAAAAATGCTAATTGTGATGAATAAAATGCAGGTTTTCAAAAAAATATATATATGTGTAAGAATGCATCAATATCTAAACAAAAGGAATTCATGATAACTTTATACAAATGTGAAAAATTATATGGAAAAATGAAAATGCATGTATATATTAACAAAAAAATGTGATAGGTTATAATGGATTGATTATGTGGATGTTTGTTTGTTTGGCTACCATAAATCCCGTTTTTAAATTGAAGATAAAAAATCATTTTTTTCTCCACGTTAATCTTTTTTTTTTTGTTGTTGTTATTTTACACTATACGATTTAAATTGTCAAAACTATTAGTTCGATTTTCAGACCGACTGGATCTAAAAGCAACAGGTGGGACATCTTGAATGGCAAAGAGATTGCTGCCAGTTGGACGAGTACGTGATTGTGATTCACGTTGTGTGGAAGCACCATAACCACAAAATTCCAAGAAGCTAGTTAATTTTGAAGGGTTGCTTTCATTTGTGCTACGACGACGATTATTTGAATTGTGGTAAATATTGTCGAGTCTGGAATGAACTTCTACAGTTTTCACAAATCTCTTTTCACGCTTTTGTGCAATTTCTGGTGGTGTAGCATCTTTTTTACAAAGAGGACATAATGATGATTTTGTAGTGAGCCATTTATCTATTATTATTTAAAAATATTATTATTATTATTATTAGTGAAAATCAATTTAAATATAATGACGACGACGACGACGACGATGATGATGAAATACTTACCAACGCAGTCTACATGATACAAATGGGAGCAAGATGGTAATTGTCTTAATGTTTCACCTTCAGTAAAGTCTTCCAAACAAATAGGACATACATCATTGGAGGAACCGTCTTCTGTTAACAGTGATAATCTACGAACATTTCCAGGAGTTGATTCAGTTTTTGAGTCGCTCTTTTTGGTATGGAGGTCTTTTGAATAGGAAATTGTAGGGAATGATTTGACTACTGATGATTCTAATTTGAATGAATCTAATTTACTAGAAATATTTGATTCATGTTGAGCCATCATTGCATCACGTTCATAGCGACGAAGTTGATATAAGCGACAATGAATCAAAACTAAAAAAAATTTTTTTTTGTTATTTTTAATTAATTATTTTTAAATAATTAATATATTATATATATAATGAATTATTATTTACCTGATATCAAAAATGAAATAGCAAGCAAAGAACCAATTACAATGATTGCGATTTGCCAAGCACTGCCAAAACCGCCTTGTGACGATGCGTCGATTATAATACGAATCATTCTAAATCCTTTATCAGTTGCAGGTTCTTTTGCCAATGTCGTAACAGTACTGGATAAATTTTCTCCTGATTCACTGTCAACTTTATAGAATGGAATTTTAATTGTATCATCAATGACGATATCTGAAGATGTAGCAGCAGCAGCATCATATACAATTGCTCCAATTGCACCAAATTTTTGTACATTAAGAAATTGTTGTAGGTCTGGACAGGCGGCACTGCGTTTGATAATTGCTATTGCTTGATTGATTAATTTAGAAGGTATATTTGAAGGTATGATTGTTGTAAAGTCTGAGCATGGGTTATCAACAGTGAAAAGAATTCCTTTGGCGCTACTATCTAGACCTGGTGTTTTATCAACTTTTTCAGCAGTAATTTCAACAGATTTACCTTTTTCTATATTACTGAGACCGGTTTGAGTGTCACTAACAAAAATTGTGTCCTGATGTAAATTTGCTTGAACATTATTAAAACAGAATAATATGAACAAAAGAAGAAGTGGAAAGGTTCTTTTAATAGTTGGCGTAATGCGAGTCATTTTATTATTATTTCACAAAAGCAAAAAAAATTGGTATATATGTTTATGTTAATGAAATGTGTTGAACTATACACGCCAGCGTGAAATATGATATGATTGTGTGTATAGTACAAAAAAAAAAAGATATAGGATGAAAATATTTATATATATATTTATAGGAAATTTTGTGCAGGAGGATAAAATGATGGACGAATGAGAAAGAAAGGATGAAAGAAAAGGATGAAGGGACAAGGAAAAAAAAAGAAAGAATGTTTTGTTTGGAAGTTTAAAAAAAGCGAGACTAAAATTGTTTTTTAAAGCTTTTATTTATATTGTGCGTTAATAAACTCAAAAAGTCCTTAAATCTAAACTACCAAAAATTTACCCTGATTCTCCAATAACGTTTAAAATGAAAAAAAGCACTTTTTTATGAAAGTTGAAAAAAGAAAGACAAAAAAATCGTGCCTCTTTATATATAATTTTATACAAAAATAACTTGTTAACTGGTTTTAGAAATATCGCAATTAGAAGATTGGAAAAAAAGAGCCTTGTTTACTAGATTGGAGTAGCATGTTTTATTATATATGTAAATTATTGAAAATCCCTCGCATTTTTTATAAATTAGAAATTGATGAAACCAAATAAAAATGCGTGCATTGTTACATTTTATAAATTTATATGTACTAATGATGGGGCGTTACACCATCACTCATATTTTTAAAGTGGTAAAAGGCTAAAAATTTGTCCACATTGGGATGAAAATTCCACATTAACCAATTAATAATGACTGAATGAAGAAGATCTATCACAACATTGTCGAACCAATTTATAAAATAAAAAGACGACTAAACCTATTATTTATGCAAGTTAAATTTTGTGTTATTGTATTAATATGTTGAAACAAACGGCCATCGTAAATCATAAAATTAAATAATCTTAATTTATGATATATTTTCTCCATCGAACAATACTAAAATCAATGCTAATTGATCGTTAATTAAATCATATTTTTTTACAAAGAACCTATCAAATTTTGTTTGTTCCTTTTTTCAAAACAGTCTTAGAATGTTGTTACTGTTTTTTTTTTGTGATGATGTTAGTTCATCGACATTTCTGCAAGTTTTGATCTACACTTGTTGCTTCAATTAAAGCTTTGGTTGATCTGATAATTTATTAACGTAACAGTTAAAATTAATTACAAATTACCAAATTTAGAAGACAGGCTCAAAAAAATTTTTAAGCATTATGATACAAAAACAAATTTAGAAATTAATATCAATATTAATATTAAATAATTATCCGAAAATTACGATCGCTCCCTTTACTTACTATTCCTGTAAACCAAAGAAAGATCTACGTCTCTTTGTCCTTTGTACTTGCTTATAAACAAATACGCAGGAAAGATACTGTGATAAGCAGTAATATTAACATTATTAGTATGAATTCAACCATATGCATTAGTGTGAAAAGGAAATCAAGATTCAATACTGAAACAGTCAGTGTAGTGAGGCTCACAAGTACCAACTGTAAAAATAAAAAATATTCCATTTTTGAATAACTAATATATACATATATATATGTATCAGCCATCATAATCTCAATGTTTTCTTAATAACCATGACCTTTAACTTGAAGGCCTCGAACCAGAAAAAAATAAATGCAAGAAATATTATAGTAATAAAAAAAAGCACATTTATATTACAATATTGTTACGGATGCTATAATTCAGAAAAAAGTTTTATTACTTTATGTATTTTAAATATTAAATAAAGCTATTAATATTTAATTAATACGTTCAAAAAATAACCATTATATTACTCTGTTTGCAATTCTGATAAAATCTATTTTTATTTATTTTAAACTTCAATACTAATAAACAGTAAAATAATTTTTATTTTATTTTTCTCGACTTGATTAAATACTAATAATAC